CCCCAAAACCCCAAAACCCCAAAACCCCATAGGATAGAAATAATATTATATTTGGGTCGAGATAGATAAAATAGATTTTATTAATTATTGATACTAAAACTCTATCAGAGACAATGGAGAGAAGAGCAGGCAGACATTCAAAAAGTTTGGAGGAAGAGAAGATTCATGGACTTAGTTCACCAAGTATTTTCAAAGAGGACAAAATGCACTATAAAGCTCCATCAAGTATTTAAGAAGATTATGAGAGTGAGTCAGTTAAGGATTTCAGAAATTTGACTGAATATGATAAGAAAAAGCACTATGATGTGCAAGAATTTGTGAATTCTATTCGGGCTTTAGAAGAAATCGGTTTTGCCAAATAAGTTGGTAATATTATCCTTATCATTTCTTACTTAATCAGGGTATGATAAGCAGGGAAATTTCAATTGCTTGATCTTTGCTTAGCTTTATCCAAATGATGAATTGTAGAGAAACATTGTCAGAAATAGTATATTCAATTTATGCAACAATGCAAGTTAGAGGTAGGCTTTAGAAAATAATAGATAGACTCTTAATTCTTGCAATTTAGGAGTCCAGTTATACTAACCTATTTCAATACTGGAATAAGTGGAGTAAATAAGGGGCCTATTGCTACACTGAAAAAGCTCTATTTTGATTGTTCAAAGTTTACACAAGATAGGCTAATCATTCTGAATATTGTTCATCCCACTTTCTATATCAAAACCAGAATAAAGGTGATTAAAACTTGCGTGAAACAACATGCCTCGCTTATGAAGAAAATCAAATTTCATGATTCAATTGTCAAATACATGGAAATATTGAAGGGTGATCAAACCATTATTTAAAGAATCATTGGTGCTCTGCCAAATAACATTCATAAAGTATATCTAAGTGAAAGAGAATCTGAATGTAAGTTATGCTTTAAAAATATTTAAGCATATTTTATTAGAGGCAAAGTTTTTAAAGTCAAAAAAGATTAAAGAGGATAAGTTTACTGAGGGAACTAAGATGGATCAACTGATGTCTTTATAAAGTGCTGTGAAAGAGGTGATTGACAAATGTGAAGATTAATATTTGGATTTCAAACCAGAATCAGCAGTACAGTCTATGGATGTGATGGGAAAGCACATTTATGAATTCAAAAGAAAAGGTGAAAATGATGTGCCAGAAATTTTCATACTTTTAGTTACTTACTTCGAAGTATAGCCTCATTTAATGAAGACAGAAGGAATATTTAGAAAAGCTGCCTCAATGGATAAATTAGATGAACTCCACATTCATTTGACTATGGGCAACAACTTTTATCTGACATAGTTGTCAGAAGAACCTCATCTAGTTGCCAATTATCTCAAGAAAATTCTAAAAAATATGGGTGAACCACTATGTACCTTTAGATTATATGCCAAGTTTAGAGACCTGTCAGGTAATTACTAATAAATTTAAATTTGAATAGATGTCAAAGTTGAGTAGAGAATCGATATATTAAAGAAAATATGCGAATCCTTGCCTCAAATAAATAAGAATACATTTGCTTTTCTTATAAGGTTTTTAATGAAAGTTGTTGCTTAAGCTGAATACAATACTGTAATCTAAAAATATTTAATCTTCATAGATGACCTTACATAACATATCGACTGTTATTACACCTAACTTATTCAGGCCATTTGAATTGACTGCTAATGATCTCATATTTGCTGCTCATTTAGTAGAAACTTTCAAGATTATCATGTAAAACTACAAAGAATTATTCGATGTATAATTGGATGATGATAGCGAAGATAATTCAGCTCGATATGATATTATTCGTAAAATTTGATAGAAATGCAATAGAATATGATTTGAGCTAAAATATGAGCACGGAGTGTATAAATTATAAACTTCCTATTGATTAATTAGAAGAGTAAGAAGTTAATTATTAATTGCTCTGTAAATTTTAAAATAATTAATTTAATTTAAATATAATACCGGCAATACAATGGACGATTTGCAAGGAAATGAAGATGTAAATATCTCTAATTGAAGGATTACTAATGACAATAATTAAATAGGATAATGGATTCCCATCTGAAGAAGTTGAAAAATGTGTTCAAGATTCTGTTGAGCAGGTACTAGCAAATGCATAGTGGGATGAAAAGATGGTTCCTTAATGGATTAACGATATCTGTGAGAAGGCAATGAAACAACTCACAGAGCTTAACCGTCCATATAAATTTATGAGTAAGAGCAATTACCCTTATTGAGCCCATATATAAGTTATCTCATTCTACAATTCTAATGAATTTTTAACATCATTATGAAAATAGTATCATGTATGCTAATGTAAAAGACGCAATAATCAGGAGCTTAGACTGTACTATCTTGCTCTTGGGAGAACAATACAGATGGTAAAATTGTGAAATTTGTTTATGAATTGAATATAGGTTATTATTAAATGGTGTACCCTCCATAAAGAGCAAAGGACAGTGCACAAAAGACCATTTAATGTATAGCTACTGTGTTTTGTGTTAGATTTTGAAACTCTTAATATATAGATTTAACTATTCATTCATACACTCTCATTTATTTATTTGCTTTTATTTCAAATTCTAATCGCTTGGGGTTTTGGGGTTTTGGGG